GTTCAGTGTAGGACCAACGGAATGGGACTGTCGAGCCTGTGAGGCCATGGAGGATTCCCATAGGGCCACGGATGCGAGGTAAGTCATCTGCGAGATATCCTACGCTTCCGAGGAATCCTGACAATAATCCTTTTGATGTAGGAGTCTTCCAGTTGATTACAGAGTCCACCTTGTCGGGATCCATACGTATACCATTATCATCAATAATACGACCGAGTACTTTCATTTCCTTTGGCAAGAAATTCAGTTTCGAGGTACTCAAGTATAATTGCTCTCGCTTCAAGACATCAATAATGCATTTAACATGCTTAACATGGTCCTCGATTGTGTCGGAATAGATAATAACATCATCTAGGTATACCTCCATGAAGACACCTATGTAGGGTGAGAAGATATGGTTCATCAGCGCTTGGTACGTTGCGGGTGCGTTACAATTACCCTGCTGTAGAACGAGACTGACCATATTTCCGTCAGGCTTTGTAACCGTAGTTCTATCAACATGCTCGGGAACAACTCGGATTTGCTCGTAGGCATCCTTGCCGTCAATAATGCTTCGATATTTGCACTTTGCCACACGACGCAAAATCCCTTCAATGCTTGGGAGAGGTGCTGACACCTTGCGAGTGTTGGCGTTGCGTGCGCGCAAGTCGACGACAGTCCGGAGTAGGTGTTTTTGCTTTCCTACTTTCGGAATCAGCAACATTGGTACTGAATTCCCTGAGGTAGTAAGTTTCCACCTACCTGAGGATAAGTAATCCCTTCGTTTTTGATCCCATTGTGAACGGAAGGCCTCGGGACACCGAGACGGCCTCCAGGGATATACCTTGTGCTTGTCAATCAAGGGTATCTCATGGTTAATTGCACGTAAGGGTGGCAATGGCGTTTCCGAAGCTGTTTTGCAGATGGGGGCCGCATACTCTTGAAGCTCTGCGCGAACTTGCTCGAGTGCATCCTCACTAACCATCATAGCTTGGGACCGAACCTGGCTAACATTATCACCCACCATAGGCAAGGCCGTGTCACTTCCAATCTCAATAGATGAAGGATTAAAGCAAACGCGAACATTATACTGATACAGCCAAGGTGTACCAAGGACCAAATCATATCCAGAGAGGTTCGCGATGTCAAAGTAATGCTCTGTTTTGATGCTCTGATACTTGAACTGAACCTTTGTCCCACAGAGAATCTTCGAACGAGATCCCTGGACTGCGAGATGCAAAGGAATAGGTGATGGAAGGTATGTCTTGAATACCTTCAGCTGATCTGCTAACTGAGTAGACATGAAGTCCCCCAATGAGCCGGTATCAACCAAAGCTCGGCAAGGCTTTCCATTGATGTCGACGACAATAACAAGAGGTCGAGGCACCACACGGCCGATGTCTTTCACAACCGAGGCGTGGCGCTGGACAGCAGGGTAAGTCTTGGGCTCGATTTGGACTCCCGCTATGCTCATAACATGAGCGTAGCCATTCCGTTCTTCCCAATGCAGGTTGCCGTTCATCAAATGCAAGTAGTTATCAGCTGCTGCAACCACGGAATCAAGTTCCTTCTCAAACGTTGTCATTTCCGTGGACTGCGAAAACATGCGGGTAAGAAACTCGTATTCAACAGGGCCTTGTAGCCGTTGTAACAGAGTTTCGTAGGCATTATTTAGCTTTTTCCAGTACCAGTTTGGCAGGTCAAAGTTCGGATTAGTCAGGTACTTGATAGGTACTGACGTTTTGAACTCGCGACGGATATCCTCAATGATATACTTTCCTGTGAGGGCTTTCTGGGATGAGGATAAATGATATACTGAATGTCCTCTTCCAGATTTCCAGGGTCCTTGATAAATGGAACATGTCTAGTCAAGGATTTTTGAACTGCAGTAGCTAGCGGATGGCCCATCCGAGGGTAATCCATGTTCTGGAAGGCTGGTATGTGGTCGAACATAGCCAGTTGCCTTCCCCAGTACTCTCCGGGACTAAACTGAGGGTCCAATACCCATGAGATAGGTAATTCTCCTCCTAGTCCTCGGTCATGATCAATGAATTTAATCATGCGATCTTCCTTAGACTCCCACACAGTGAACCGAAGGTGACCATGAGGATCAGAGCTATCTCCGGGGTACAGGCTGGCTCTCATGAAGCTTCGTCTCGAGAGCGTCGACAAGTACGTTTCCCATTCTTTGAAGTCGCCATTGCTCTGATCTAACCTTGATAGCCTCAGCACTGCTTCAGCTTCTCAAAGCGAAGCTCATCCAGGAGGAACTGACTCGAATTGCATAGCTACGAATGCCTTTAAGTTCTTTGATAGCCAACCGATTGCATCAAAGTATGGATTTTCGAGTCTCGCAGCATCAATCTGAAGCACCGCAAGATTTGAGTGATCTTCAACAGTAAGCTTGTTTGATTGAGCTTCTCGGCTCACACTGAACCGGTCGTAGGGTGAGACTTGGTTCTCATTGAAGCCCAATTCCTTCAAATCGGGATAAGAGCTAATGCCGTGGCTTAGTACAAAGTGTAAGCCTTGCGTGAGAGCATCTCCAAGTTCTGAGGACTTGCTAAACCACTTCGCAGAGTCAAACGGAAGTGCAAGAAGCCTTGCGCGTTGCTTCGCATACCATGCACCAATCCGGAACTTCGGATTTCGAAGCAAGGCTGCCGAAATTGTGAGTTCACCGTGTTCTGATTCAGTATCCGCGATGGTAAAGGTATCATTGTTCAGACAAAACACGCCAAACCGATGAGAGCTCACTGCTCCCCAACGGAGTTCATCCCCAGGGTACGGTGCATCGTGATTCAGGCTTAACTCGGCTGCGTACTGATAGAAATCACCAATACTGGTCGGACGCCAGCCTGGCTTCTGTTTCCTTGCGCAACACAAAGTTCGAATACACTGTTTCCAGGATACCCGAAGACCTCCTTAGCGTCATCTGCCCAGCAGTACAATGGTTCGCCATTGCGATCCTGTGAACAGGCATCTTCCTCAGTCCACTGGAGTCCGAAATTCTCAATTCCGAGAACTGGTGAGGCCTCATTGCAATCTATGCTTCCGAAATCACTGATGAACACTTCCAGATCATTTAATTCTGACTCATGTGAATTATCAGGGCTAACGGCTGAAGGTTCAGCCTCAATTCCAGGGTTGCGATGCCTCTTCGCTGTCAGTTTCGTAGTCTGAACTTTCTGATTCATCTGTTTCCTGAGACTGATTCAAGGTCTGGGACATTTTCATTGTCCGAGTTTTCAGGTAGTAACTGACTATCCTCTTCATCAGGCATGAACATCATACCAATTGAGATGTAGTCTGCCGTTTCCGTAGTCTCAGCAAGCTCATGAAGATCTTCTGCAAGTTCATAGTGCATGCCATGTGCTGAAAATCCCGGTGGTCCCTTTTTATTACTGGACTTGACCGTATTGCCATGAGGGCAGTTCCGAGCCATATGGCCAACTTCCTCGCAGTTGAAACACTTATTAGCAGCTACTAATTCCGCTTTCTTGCCATCTGACATTTTATTTCCAGAACCAGGGTGATGTAGAAGGCTTGCTACCTCCTCTGTTATGCCCTCCATTGGAAGGTTTGTTGCCCGAACCTCCTTTGGATGACGATGAAGCCTGATTATGACCTGTAGAATGTCCCGACGGAGCAGATCCACCATTTCGGGGTCCATTCTTATGGTGAGAATAGCCTTTACCGTGGTTATTATTAGGCTTATTCTTCTTTGACGAGGTTTCGTTATTCCCGTTACCATTGCCATTGTTACCACCTTGTGATGGCTTCTTCTCCTTGGTGCGAGGTGCAGCTTCAAGGTCAGCCATCTCAATTAGTTCAGCTTCTTCAACAATGCGACGCCAACTGTGAACTTCTTTATTCAGTTTCGCACGATGTAGTTCACGTTGCATCTCTTTGCGGAATCCATCCCAAAGTTTGATGACACGTTCTCGCTTGCTAGTGACACCAACAAGTCCATACAAGGTTTCAAGCTCGTAAACGTATTCCGAAACGGTACGATCATTTTGATAGCACCTCTTTATTTTATCACGTTGCTGACTACGATAATTCAGGGGGAAACAAGCATTGAACATTCCACGTAAGAAGTCCAATAATGTCCATTCCGCGTGATTCTTAGAAACCTTTTGGATGAAAAAGGAGAGGGCTTTACCCTTCAGGTAATGTGACGTCAAGAATACTTGTTCATCTCTGGGGACCTGACCTTCTTTACAGAACTGAGTCATTTCCATTGTGAAGCGGTGGAACTTCTCGCCGTCTGCAGTACCATCATACGGAGTAGGAGGGATTGGCTTAATAATCCGTTTCTGACTAGATCTATGCCTCCTACGGCGGTGGCCATGATGACGATGAGATCCATGCCTTCGGCGGTGGCAGCGATGATGGCGACTATCACGAGATGAGTCTGAAGCTTCCGAAGAGCCTGATTCTGATGGTGAGTCACTACTTGAGTCTGAAGAGCTCGAGTCTGAATCCGAGGGATCACTATCAGATGGAGAAGAGTACGAATAGCTTGAATCTGAATCCGAATCATCACTAGAAGAGGAATCAGAGCTCGAAGGATCTGAATCGGAGGAGCTAGCATGCTGCTTGCTCTTCCATTTCTCATTCTTCTTCCTATTGAGCTTCCGTTTATGTTCCGGTGAGGCTTTCTTCTTAGATTTACCAACTTTTAGAACATTGGCTAAGAAGCTATCAGCCGGAAGCTGATCTGTTGGACGAGTAGAGCCATGCCGGCTCCCATGATGACTGCTTGAGGGTGCTCTGGACTTGCCCCGAACCACCTCTTCCATCCGATGATCAAACGTGCCTTGCCAGCAGCTCAAGATTATGAACATTCTTCTTCTTAGAAGTCCTTTTCTTTGATTTCGTAGGCTTTTTCTGATATTTTTTCAGTTCAGTATCCTCAGGATCTTCATCGGAAGTTTCCTCAACCTCGAGAACATCATACCGGCCAGTCTTACCAACCAGTTTCTTAGTTCGCTGAAGCCTTGGACTTGCCAGAAGCTTTAGTCCTGCTTAGAAGACTTTCTGACCTTTGCGAATCCATCCTCATGGTGCGTTTCAGGTTCAGGTTCATCCTGATGACCATCAAGTGATTCCTGGATCTCATCACGGACCTGGTTCCAGTTCTTGAGCGCCTCACGTTGAGCCTCAATGTCCAATTCCGAATCATCAACTTCCTGGTTATGATCGGCAAATTTTCCCTTCGCAACAGTATGAGCTTGGGCCTGGTGTTGCATTATGGGTTTCAGGTGGGTTGCGAGCCTGCTTCTGAGCAACCTTATCCTGACGTTTTGCCAGGATTTCTCGCTGCTCGGTAGTCAGATTACGTTCTGCAGCCCTAACTGTAGAAGCTTGTTCCTTGGTGAGCTTCTTTGCTTTATGCTGCTCCTTAAAGCGAACTGCATTCCTACTCAGGTCATCCAGACTCTGAGTACGACGAAGCCTTGCAGGCCTTGCCGGTTGAAGGGGAGTAGGTTCCTCAGCATCAGTCTTACTAGATGCTTTCTTGGATTCCATGCTACTACTAGAACTAGATGTATCAGATTCATCATCATATTCTACATTACTACGAGACAAATTCTTCTTTGAAATACCCGCAGCAGTCAGATTCCCTTGGGAACTGACATCCTCATCATCCTCCGAGTCAGAAGGAGACGATTTCTCCTCCTCCGCTTGTACATGAGCAGAAGGAGGGTTCCTCAGCATGGCATTGCCAGACGCTGGAACACGGCTCGCAGCCGGACCAGGAGCAGAGCCCTGAGCACTCGCAGTGCTGGATTCTGCCGGGATTTTAGTATTACGGATATCTGGGGACAGCTCACCAGATAACTCGGATAAAGGACTCTCCACCCTTGGCAAGGCTGGCCCTGTTGCAACAGTGTTGCGGCGGCTGCGCAAGGCGTAACGAGACATCCTAATAGGTATACAGAATATACAGTGTCGAAATCGGAGTGGCCTCGGGTGATCAAGCCTCGGTTTTCCAGAGATCAACGAAGAGAGAGAGAGAAAGAGATTTAAAGAAAAAAGCGCAGATGTAGTTGAGAGAGAGATATAGAAATAAGCAGAGAAACAGCCAATGGAGCTGTCAAAAATATGAGAGGGTGGCAAAAGTCACGTACTCTCACGAAGGAGTTTCACGCAGTGTGTGACAGGTGTAAAGGCTGGTCGTTGCGAAAAACCCGAGCTACTACAGCAGTACGTAGCTCTTATATACTACTAGCTAATATCAAATAGATCCTATCGGGTGCGTCGAGAACGGTGGAGCGTGTGGAGCGACAACGAGGGGGAGAAATGAAGGGTAAGGACCGGGCCAAAGGCCGGCTCGTTACATCCGCCGAACGCGCAGAAACATCAGGACGGCAGAGAGCGTGATGGTCCTATGCGCCTAATGGTGATGGCTCCCCCATATCCTCGAACAGAAGTGCCGTCTTGAGTGGGCGCATATCGTCAGATTTTCTTGCGTCGACATATGAAGTCATATCTAGATAGGAATGAGGATAAGATTCAGAACGAGTTAAGAAGCTGACGCACCAGCTAATGATCACCCTCCTTCGTCATCGTATCCAAATCCTCCATCCTTGCAATCACGTCGTGTCTCGGCGAAGGTTCAAAAATGGTGATTGATATCATGAAGGTCGTTGAAAAGAAAGAAGCGTGGCATGAGAACGCCCGACGTTCTTCCGGATTTGATAACTCGCTTTATTACGTCTGTTTGTGCGAAATAATGCTTTTTATTTCTTCCCCATGACGGTAACAAGGAAATACGTAGTCTACGGCATCGATCACACACGAAGTCGTTGAACCGACAAAACACTCGTACCCAGACGAGCGAGCGAGTCCTCGAGCTCATCGCCATCCGCTGTACATCAAGGACATAAGTGCAGAGGGGACCTTCGAGATTAGCCTCATGGCTTCAGCGTAAGAAGATGCAGCTACACTAGCGCACGCAGTGCTAAATATCCAGCCCTGCTCACAACGTAACCACCGGTGAGTCCGATCCATCTTCACCTCCGTCCTTCTTTCCTCATGGACAAGCCATACCCGTCTACTGTTACACAGAACACTTGGTATCGGGAAGTGTCACAGTCTACAAGCACCACCGACACTCGGGAAATAAACAACATCTCGTCTGCTTCCACATCGAACAACGTTCACTACTGAATGCTCGAAAACTTCTCTCGTCAACGAAACAATGTTGAGCTATGTGCAATTCTGTGGTGAGTGGAGATGGAGAAGATCAACATTGGGCTGGAGCTGCGAGAGAGCGACACGTCAGGATGGAGGGAAGCACGAGCGTAATCGACGAGCAAGTCAGCTGTGAGCTGTGGAGAACGACGTCACAGGTGGAAAGCGGTCTCCCAAGTGCAGTACGCTCTGGTTCCCCCTACCTCGAACACCCTTCAAAGTGTTTCATAGTGGCGAACACAGCCCGGGTCACAGAGCATCGGTGCACAAGGAAATCATTACGGGCACCCTCCCTCTCTCTTTCGCGGAAGAACATGCGGTTTCGTCGTAAATTGAGGGAACGGAGATCGACATCAGGGGATGTAAGAAAGCGTTAGCGTAATCGAATGAGTTTTCCTGAGGGTGGGTCGCAGTGCCGTGGAGCCGTTGAGAAGGAGGAAAGTGGAGCCAAGCACGGTAAGTTCTGGTGTCCCTTGCCAAGAGTTTGATCCAAGTTCATCAAGTGCCTCGTAGTAGCGAACATGGTCTGGGTCACAGAGCGTAGTGCATGAAAGAATCGTAACGGGTGCAGGAAAACGTGTACACATTGTGTTCGGAGCTTTGTGGGGATGTGCGAAGGGTATAAAGCGACGTGCTTCTCTTGCGAGGTATAATCGTCGATGTTCGTATAAGATGGTTTGCTCTAGAATAAAGGTGATCTGCATTGTTATTGCCTTCGTCCAGGAAGACGCAGTAAATGCCTATCGGAACGATATATCAGATTAGACAACAAGACACCCGACAAATACGACACGTACTGTGACTCTCTTCCCAGCAAAATAAGACGACCTCTCCTTCACCAATCCCGATTGATGGGATTGAATCCTTCGAAACACTCGTGAGGTAGAGCGATACACTTGATACAGCCAACCTTGCAGTGTGTCCGTCCGATCTGGCTGAGATCTATCCGGTATCGATTCAGTTGATGATGGTGTGGAAGGGACAGAGGAGCGTCACATACCGGTCGCTAGCCGGACCTCTGATCATTGAGGGGGAATCTTTGCGAGCATTTGATTGATTTACAAGGCAAGGGTGTATACGATCTCGGTAAGTGGCCGACGAGTCAGGACCGATGCGCCTAGACGACGACGGGTCTTCCCCACTCACACGAAGCATACACCTCGTGATGGCAGTATATCGTAGAAACGAGCGGTAATCGACTGAGACTGAGCCACAACCTCGGAATTCATATCTGTCAAATCCCCGAGCCATAACTTCTTTTCTCTGCTTCGACCACGTTGGAGTATGCTCTTGGACACAGAGGGTGATTCCCATATCTTGACGATTACAATGCGAATAGCACATGCTTTAACAGCAGTGTCTGCTCATTCGGAGGGATGCATGTCGAGGGATTAGATGGGTGAAGCTGGCGAACAGAGTCGAGTCTAGGCAATAGGAGTGTGTTCCGAGGTTGGCAGGAAGGTATGCGAAGCTTGTAGGACATGTATAAAGGGAGACGCGGGGCTCCTCCAACAAATTTTCTACGTGCAGTGAGCCTAGCGGAACAACACGTCAGATACGGACATGGGAGTCAGAGCGATAAGGTACCCACCGTATAATTCTTCAGCAAAACACAACATCTTCTTCATCTCTTGGCTGCACGGCGCATCCTTGGCTAGATAGAAGCTCGCCATCCCTTCAAAACGTCGGGGATGTGAGCGATGGGGTGATTGTTGGGATCGTCTAAGCATCTGCATACGAATACATGGATGCATGGTCACAGGGTCCTTTTATCGTGTTGGCGCTGTGTCATTCGAGCTGTGGACTGCCTGTTCAGAAAACGCCGTTTCAAGTAGTCGATAGTTATACGCAACACGAGAAGGCTGGCGAGCTAAATATCGTCACTTGAGGACATCGACTGGCAACGAATGATATGCAAAAGACATAATCGAAGGGCGGGATTGATGCATCGTTACTTGATGGAGGTAAGGCTCGTACTTGTGAACACGAGTACCATAGGAATACGCCTATTCAGTCGGTAATCAATAGAAAATCGACGACGTAAGATAGAAAGCTTACATGTATTGCAGCACCACGACGTGGAAAGGGAGATCCTGACAATCGTCTCCATCTCATCATTGCACAACATCCGAAAGAAAAGCCGCTATCTCTCAACCCCCCGTACCAACCCGCCTTTTCTCTTGAACTGAGCACTGCGGACTGCATTCTCTGGGGCGATGATATCGCGGACTGTGTGCATGAGCTCGTCGTGGTGATTGTTGATGTAGGAAGCATGGCAACAAAGGATGATATTGATATGACTGGGAGCAGCTGATGGACCGAGCTAGAGCAAGTTCAGAAAATTGTGGGCCGAGTTCGACAAAAGGAAACCGACGCCATTCACCCCCGGTACGGATGATCTTCTGACCCCTTGGCCTCCGTCGAGGGCCAGGCATGGCCGTTGGAGAGGTACATGTATTCCCTGTTGTCGATAGGAGTAAGAGGTAGAGCCAATCCATAGACGCTTCAGGTGCGGGGACTTGGAAAACGAAGTGGCAGTCGTTGCAACAGCAATTCTGCTGCATAATGAGAACACAAAGCAGGGGCCAATAAGAAAGAAGAACGCACGATGCCTACGTATGTCCCAGGATACGACGTGTACGCATACCAGATCACTCGCATTGTACCACCGTCGCCGTCGCCTCCACTTCCTGCAAGTTCTTGTAACTTGGGCGAGGTTTTCGGCCGACGAATTCGTCAAGACAAACGGCTTCTTCGTCGAAGAAAGAATAGGGCAGCACGCAACAGAGATGTCGGTTTCATTGAAGTGGTGGTGGTGGTGGTGGAAATTGGTCGAGTGATCGGACGTGGGGAAATTAGCCTCATGCCCTTCAGATACATGCCACTGCATCGTGTTTGTTTCTTCCACTCGTACCATCATCATCGACTGTACAGCGTAATTCAAAGAATGCAAGCTCCCTCTCAACCTCTTACTCAGTCTCCAAGTGGAGCAGCGCCTGGTCGATCTGCAATCCTCGCACCTCCAAATCTCACACCTGATGATACCGACCATTGGTTGGCCCCTGTGCTTCGCACTGCTCCCGACCACCTAAGAAAGTGGTTCATGGACATGAGTAGCCGTGATCATGATAAAATTTATATGACAGAAATTGACGAGGAGGCCAAAACCTGGATCCAAGAGCATCGTGAAGAAGTAATTGAGGCCATGCCTGTTCGGTGTGTTACCATGAGGATCCACTTTATCTGGAGTATTGACTATGGCTTCTTAGACTCGAAACCTATGAAAACAATGTAATTCTACAAATCCCATCACAGATCCATCAGTTTGCCGGTCAGGTCATCAAGGAAGCTATCAACTCCAGATATAAATCTGGCACCCAGGACATCACAATTATGGAATCTGCTGATATCCCCCTTCTCGACAAGCATTGGAAGCAGTGCGACATCCAAATCTATGACTTAGGGCCTCCACCTGACAGCGCCAGTGCGGCCATCCGAAAGGCTTACTCGTACCCCACTGTTGTAATTGAAGTCGGTTTCTCTGAATCTGCTGCGGATTTAGATTTCGACATTGCACGAGCTCTCTGCTTGACGGAAGGGAGGCTGTGGCTTGGCATTGTCCTCAATATTGGCAAAGGCCGAATCCCTGTCCTCACCATCACCATCTTTGTGTTTGCACCAGGCTTGATGTCAGAAGATGAGGTTGAGGAGGCAAGGATTGAATCTGGTCGAGTGTATGGCCGACACGAGGGGCATTGGGTCCCTGTCTTTTATCAGGACCACAGACGCTACAATAATTTCCTGGCCATCGGGGTGAAGACGATTGAAGAAGATGGGAAATGTGGGAAACCGGCTTACTATTGTCTGAAAGACGATAGCTGGGAAGTAAGTTCCATATATTTGCCTGCATGAGTTAATTACTGAGTTCTCCTAGATTACACAGGATGCACATGACCATAACCAAGATATCATCATCGAGGGGTATTTTAAGCGTGTTTCAATGAACTTTGAAGCTCCTGCTCTGACTATCCCTGCTAAAAAGCTGTGGGAAACCCTGTTGAAGTGCAAAGAAGTCACAGGAGCACTCAAAGGTGACATGGATCTTATCAAAAAAGATGGTACCACTGGGGATCCCCAAGTAGAGGATTCCAAGACAAGTGCAATGCGGCGGCGGCGACTTACGGAGATTGATTTGGACGCTCCTGTTGAGCACAGGTATTGCTGATCGGCTTACAGCCACTGGAGCCATCGATTGGAAATTACTCCGGCTTGATGTTAATCTTCCCCATCTCCACCCACAACGGAATTGTGCCTAGCTCAACATTGTTTCGTTGGTGAGAGCTATTTCTGAGCATTCGGTAGTGAACATTGTTCGATGTGTAAGCAGAAGAGATGTTGTTTCTTGACAGTGTCAGTGGTGCTTGTGGACTATAACACCTCCTGATACCAAGAGTGTTCTGCATAACAGTGGAAGGGTATGGCTTATCCGTGAGGAAAGAAGGACAGAGACGAGGCAGGTGCAGACCCTTGAAAAGAACACCGGGGCCCTTCTTCCGCCAAAGCCATCAGGCTAAACTCGAAGCTGTCTGTCTGCATTCAAGTCTTTGATGTATGCCGGGTGATCTTGAAGACTGGCTCGCCGAGGATGTCCTCACTTGGGCACGAGTATTTTGTCGGTTCAAAGTGCTTGTGTCATGGATATCGTAGAGTCGACGAATTTGAGGCAGTATTTCGTACAAACAGAGGTAATAAAGCGAGTTATCGAAACCGGAAGAACGTGAGCGTTCTCACGCCACGCTTCTTTCTCTCCGACCTTCATGATAACAATCACTGTTTTTGAACCTTCGTCGAGACACGACACGATTGCAAAGATCGAGAATTTGGATGGCTGGTGTTAGTAGATGATTCAACTGTACGTCCAATACTATCCATGTTGACCAGTGATTCAACATGTATCCAGATACCGCAGACATACGTCGAAATTGCCTGCTTTGATCTCAGCTACGTCGGCGTCAGTTCAGCAAGGGACTTTATCGATATCACTTGCGATAAACTATGGGCGAATGATGACGCAGGAGGGTGACTATAAGCTAGTGCGGCGAGGTATTGTTTTGGTCTGGTGCGTCCGCTTCTTAACTCGTTCTGAATCTTATCCTCATTCCTATCTAGATATGGTTGCGTATGTTGACCCCATTCAAGATGACACTTCGTTCGAGGATAAGGCCTTCAAAGGTGCATAGGACCATCAGTCTCTCCGCCATCCCGATGCTTCTGTGCGTTCCACAGTGGTACAACGCATGATTCGATCTCGAACAATCCCTCTGGCCACCGAACAATCACAGATTCTTGAATCGTTGTGTCGATGTTCTTCACCGATCTGCTGGACGTCAGCTGGATGCTATGCATCTATTCGTGTGTATTCCACTTTCCGATCTCGCTCACACCACGACTTGGTGACGAGTAAGATGTCTGACGATGCGCAGACCCATCACCGTATAACTTTGGGAAAACAGTCCGACAACGACGTCACTGAGAACAACTTTGATTAGTGCCCATCTAGAAGCAGACATCAATTGACCGATACCGATCATCACAGCTTCTTCAACGCGACATCACCCACAACTTGGTCTCTAGCGGAACTATCACCTGCTCTGAAATCACAACCAGACCCCAGTGCTATAATCACCCCCACCAGCCTCCATCTCTTTGGCCCCGAAAACGTCACCAAAACACACAAGAATCCCAGGCGGATACCGAAGTGCACGTAATCCATACAGAGAGAGGTTATCTGGGATGCTATGGCAGTGAATCTTTGCTCGAACGATGCCACGCATGAAATGATCCTCCAACGGAAGGCATGCATGTCCAAGTTACATTCGGCACTGAGATGAGGATAATAGGCAGGACTGGGTCGTGTGATTGATGTCCTTCACCAAGTCTTGCGGATGCTAGCGTGCTTCAACCACTACATTTATGCGCTGAACTGCACGCGCACATTCACTTATCTTCCAGAGCCGGTTCTAGCGCCACGACTCTGTATCCAAGGATGCGTTTGGAATATCACGATGCTACATTCAAGCCCGCACAACATTGTCGCATCCATCTTGTGTTGGTCTGGGTGAGATCAGACTGGAATAGCATCACATGCTTTTGCTAGCAGCTATACACGGCTGTCGATGCATATACGATGAGAAGAAGAGGCTGCAGAGATAATCATGAAGGAAATCGTGTACGAGGAACACTGGGTACGTCCTTTCTCTCTGTCGATGTCGACAATGCTGAGTATATGCGTAACAGCAGGTCCACACCCAATGCTTCACTACGTTTAGCGTTCGTCTCCTGGACCATCTTCCCAACCAGCATCCGAGTCGTCTGCTTCGCGTCAAACCTCAACACGCTGAGCTCCCCAAGCAGATGCAGATGTCAGCTAATAACAGGCGGATCCTCCTGGAAACCAACGCGCTAAGTGAAGGTGTATAGCGCGTTGGAGCGCAAACCATCCAAGTCGAGATGGTTGTTCTCTCATTTGCCGATGATGCCTTGGATGGCAGAGTTCGTCGCGGGGATTACGGGCGATGGATAGGATGTGGGGCAGTTATGAGAGAGGATATATGGTATTTGGAGGCTGAGACAAGGGTGGAGAGCACAAGCGATACCCTGTCCTCTGAGATGGTAGACATCTTCATTATCACCTTGCCTTCCTTTGTTCTAACTTCTTTTTTACAGGATGCAGTAACTGATGAGAACATCGTGTATTCTACCACCCGGAGACGCATGACAACCCCACCATTTACTATTCATCCGCGTCTGAATTTGGTCTAGAGATTCGAATCGACCTTGCCTAGGTATAACCAACACACATCCGGCTTGCCACACTTTGACGCTTTGGACTGCTTTCTTCCTGTGAGGTCGTCCTCGACAGTTCGCAACCCATTTGCTCGCCGATTACGCTCGCAGTCCCTCCATCCCCGACTTGTCACCCTCTAGCTAGATCTCTGACGTTTTCTCCTTTCCTAACACTCCGACCCGTTCGCCACACTCTAACTCAGAGATACCCTCACGCGTCTATCCTGGAATTCCGACATTCAAGCCCTTAGACTTGTGTGTGTGTGGGGCTCACAACCTGACTCGATGATTCATCATTTCTAAAGCACCTGCCGTCTCATGGCAACTCGGTTCTTCATTTCCCTGCGTCCTTTTATCAACCATCTGCGTGTCCGAATCATCCTCCAAGCTTCGAAGCTTAATCACGATGCCTACCCCGAAGGTTTTTTCACCAAGACGTTGAAAGGGACGCAGAAGTTGGAGAGCTAACGTGGTCCTTTCCTGGCAATCTGTGTCCGGAGGAAACGAAGCAGCATGGTCCACCACATTTGCGCCCCGCGAAGCATCGATCGCAGTGTTGAGATACTTCCTTACGAACCGTGGATTGCTCGGTAGCAGTCATTCACCAGCATGGTGAAATCGACGCTTCTTCCTACGCCTCCACCAACTTGGATGCCGCTTCCTTTGCGATCCGTACACAACGGAGATCGTATGGAACAACAGTGGGATGAATATGTTGGACACTGAGGCTTTGATACGTCTGCGGGTTCTAGTGGCGAGTTAGAACCTGAACATCTGAACAGACGTTGGCTGACGCAGCTCTAGCAGAATTTGAAGGGACTGACGAAGTGATCAGGGCCTGAACAGGGTGGTGTATGAGACGAAGCTCGCATGCTAGTACAATAGGCTGCCCTCACATTGCGACAGGGCTCGCCAGATCTGGCTGCGGTACCCCTGCTTACGTTGCCAATCGTCCAGGCACCGCTTCTTGACCGACTTGTTAATAGAGGTCTGGCGAGCATTATGAAATTTCCCCTCATCTTCAGGCATCGGGTGTCGGCTTTCCGGGATGCCTGTGCCTGGCTAAAGAGAATGATATATCCGCCATAGAAAGAAAGACGTGGTGGTATACAGGTCCGTCACCTTCACAAGTTCCTCGAAAACTAATTCTCAATTTTGATAGACAGTGACCGCATCGACGATGCGCATACAAACAGGCTGCATGTCAAATGTCGCGAATGACTCTCGTCATACCGCCATGCTTGCTACACCTACTCATTGGTGTATGCACTAAATGGTGACGACACTGTGGTGTTTGGGTTTATAGCTTTCCTAAGTGGGAAGGACGAGACGGAGAGAGAAACCTATGAACACCACAATCACTGTCAACTGGTTCATCGCCGGCTCTTATCCCCACCTTACCCATGTTCAAGTTTCTGTCTCAGTCTTGCCACGAACGATCTTCTCGCTTAACGTAATGCGACGCAAATCTTTTGTGGGCTAGAGATGCTGCTGTTGGTAGTCCAAGAACACATTAGCAACACGACAATGTTCCACTATCAGCGTTATATCCTCGATTTCCGACGTTCTTTCCTTTCCCCTTGCCCTGACACACAGCACATCACCTTGAGAAAGGAACGGCACGACAGCGTTATCGAGAATGTCCCTAAATGGTGCACGTCTAACAGCGGACATCGATTAACTTTGATACCGTGCTTGGAACGACGGAGATCAAGAACCTACCATGATCCATCGGCGGTACAAAATCTTCAACCTCCAATTCCTCCGGCGAGTCTCTCGACTGATCCGTCAACGCCCTGACCAGCTCCACATGTACTTCACCCAGCGAAACAACATCATCTACGGACTCGCTATCAACAACTTCACCACCTTCACACTTCCCTCCCTATTCACCTTCACTGTTGGACCAGGCGGACCAGGCGCCATGATCCCACCCAATACAGGTTTCTTCAGTCTCCGAGACGTCGCCAAAAACCCTGGGACGGTATCAAAGTCCATGTGATCCCGGTGGGGAGAGGTTGTCCGAAGTCCTATGAGTGTCGGCAGGTACTGCACATGTAAGGTTCCTTCAACAAGGAGCACGTATGTCTGGAGACCAGGAGGGTGGGCAGGGGTCGTGCGATATCGATTGTGTATCGCGCGCCATCTCCCATAGGAGCACGTCGACGAGGTCGTTCATTGTCATCAAGTCCCTCCCTCCCCTTTGAGCTTGAACCCACGTTCCTCAATCCGGACAGACTTAACCAATCCATCTAGACACGGGAGGAGCAGGGAGTCATCAGAATTCTACTGAACGAAACATTGGTCGGAATAGCTCCAATTCAGCAACCGATACGCGTGCTTCCTCGCGCCAAACTGAATGGACTATCGCGTACACCCCACACATGTCGTGAATCGACGTAACCGTGACACCAGCAGCATGCTTGGGTCAAGGAGACTCTTGACTGTGTTCCAACTTCAGCAGGCAGATCGTATGGGCGGGTAAAAATAGATGTTAACGCCGGTGCGGGGATGTCAGCTGTGTTTTTATGGAGAGGAGATGATACAGGAGCTTGATGGAGATTTCCGAGTCTCGAGGCGAGGCAGCAACAGGAAGATAAGTGCCGCGGAATAAGATTTGGAAAGGACAGTAGGGATTCCCACGCCACCCTTCTTCACCCTCATCCCGGTGCCATTCTCAAAGCTTCATCATCATCGGCAACGGTACTTGTATGGAGTCCACTACATTTGAGGGTCGACTGTATGGTGGTCATTGCACCACAATGGCTGATACCAACGAAGGAGGAGGCTCTACTTGGGAGTCGGGTGACGATGCGGAGGTCTGGTGCGTCGCGCCTTTCCTTGTCTTTCCTTCTTTGCTCATGGGTGTCTATAGGGTCACAGCCCTGCTACTTGTGGGCTGAAGGTCCGAAATTGCAAAAGCAGAGCAATGAATGCAGGTGAAGCCGGTAGGCATGTACACGCACTTTCAAAGGGATCATGCAATGTTTCGCTTCGCGCAAATGAACAAGAAACTCCAAACTTTTAACGCCAGACTGAGACGGAATGGTTCACCGTATCACTCTCCTTATCAGGATACTACGAGTTTTAGCTTACCAGGCTTGTCTTGCACTTAACCATCGACTACATTCTCCGAGGAATCAGGTGGTATAATGCCAACGTGAATTGTCATTCAGAGGTCGGCGGGACCTCCAAGAATATCACCGCTCTCATCTTTCCTTCTTGCACGGGCATGTCTTGATCTCGGACGGTTCAAAGAGATGTGGATATCGATCCTGCCGAGGATATGTCATGGAGCCAAGAGGAGCCATCTTTGCTGTAAAGAGACGTATAGTGCGTATTTTGTCGTTCTGACTTTCATGTCTGGGCTTGACATGTTCTTCCGTCAGGCTTAGAAGGGATCGGGACGAATGTCAATACGAATACCACCGCGCCGAACAACTGCCATCTTAGCTGAACGAGACCTTTGGCCATCAATATCGCTCACGAACATGTTGTCGAAACAGAGTGTGGCCTGTTTCATTTGAATGTTGTCGACGTTCATCGACCTGCTCAAGTAGCCATACAAATCGGTACTCGACCTCGTTGCAACACGCTCTCTTTTCCAGGCGTCGATGCCAACCAAACCCAGTTACTACGAAGAAGTGTAATGCCTCATATCCATGACGACCTCCTCCCAACTGCTGCATTGAAGGTTCTTTCACGACGACGGGTAATCGCAGTACGCAATCTAGTCACTATGGATTTACGTCGTCTGTTATGGATCTGCCGAAATCCGGAGATGCGAGCACGAGGCGAGGAGTGGTGATCGAAGTGAGGTAAGAGTAATCAGGAATGATGTACGTCGTTAGGGAATATAATGGATTCCGGCGAGGGTTCGTGAGGAGACCTGAGTGGTCCGGTTTGCGAAATACAGGAAATCAGTAAGCGCGAAGCTATTACGGACCGAGGGTGAAGGCAAGCGCTAAGCGTAACCTTCGGGTTGGTGTCAGAAAGCGCTAGGCGTATCCAACGAGTTGTTCAGCAAGCGCTAGGCGTAACTGAGGGTTCACGCAGTGAAGGTGTCCTTAAAGTAGTAGATTGGTAAAAGCTTTTTTAATACAATGTTATCTACAAGTTTATATACTAAGGACAGGTTCGAGTCATTATTATTCTATAATATTCTAGTATCAGTACGAAGAATAGAGAAGGTAAGAGAAAATAAGAGAAAGTACGAGCGAGTCACTACTAGGGCCGAGAAGGCCGAGTACGGGCATGTGTTGACTCATGCACCGAATCAGTGGATACCCAATATCCATAACATCGTCCCTGTGAGCTACCGTTGAAGGGTCAGCCACTGCTTCTAGCCTCATACACATCGTTCCGCTCTCACGTTTAACCTGCAAATCTTGGTGTATGCTTTTAGACCCGGCCCCATTCGTCTCCCTCGCCTTTAAATTCACACATATCCCTCCGAATGCATGACTGGGCGTATCATAATTGTTGAGATATAGGGACAATAGTCGAAGAATCCGATCGGACGAGCCAGTCAAGAGGGAAGGATTGACAAGAGGCTGGTTTATTGTATAGTCCTTTATTTGTCACCCGCCTCTGCACGATGCATGTTCGATCTGGATGCCACACGACACGACGCTTTCGCGTTCCCCTCCGACGACCACCTCCGCGAAAACTTCCATTATCCGCCCTCATCTTGCAAACGGTTTATCTCCGCTATTAAGCACCTGAGCAAGTCCTGATATTGGCTTAGCAGCCCGTCACACAACCCGAAAAGATGAAGTATCCCTTCAAGTCCTTCTTCCGAACCTTCGTGACAACGGAGAGAACGAGCTGCAGACCCAGAGACGTCCACTGAAAATCGGGAGCTTGGTGAATGTGGAAGCAGCGTCATCAATCATAGTGGCTAGTATTGACCCGCCTGTTCGGGGATACCATATTTTCTCATAACTGTCTCTTCGGCACCCACCACTTAGCTCTCAGCCAAATCAGGGGCGGATACCTACGGGCCTTATAATTTAATCATATCGTCCCGCATTGCCGATGTTTCAAAGGAATGTCGTCCATAGATGAGACCAGGAAGAAGTTGATAACGTTTGTATTCAGTCAAATCAGAGACGCATGATGCAGACGTTCACATGTCTAGGGAAGAGATCATTGCACAGGTACTTGATACCGATCCCGTACTATTGACTTTTTGTTAACAATCGTCTACAACAGATGGTATAGAAATTCTTACTTGTGTTTTTCGTGCTTACAATTTCTGAACTTTAGAACATGTTGTTGATAGCAGGTGAGCGTCGCAGATTTACTCCTTTATTTTGAAAGCTAATCATTTTATAGGCTATGAAACGACAAGTAGTAAGTCTCGATTCTTTCCAAGCCTCTACTCTTTCTGAATTACTCTCGCATAGTTAGTCTCACGGTATGTGACCTATCAGCGACCGATCATTAAATAAAATTGATAACCTCGTAGTGGGCCCTCATCAAAATGTGCAAGAACGTGGGCATCCAAAATAAGCTCCGCGCAGAACTGGTGCAATTTGTTAAGGATTAGGGTATTTTGAGCTAATACACGAAGTAATGATTACTCAAGTAAAACCCGAGTTGTGAGCGAGGATGTCCGAAAGCCGAGTTCCAACCACCAAGAGGGATCCGTAAGGGTGCTAACAAGCACTAGGCGTAGTTAACGGGCATCAGCAAGCACTAGGCGTAACTGACAGGGTCTCCGAAAAGCGCTAGGCGTAACCGATCAAGGTTGCTTAGTTCACACAGTTAAGTGGACGTTCGAAGAGGAGTAAAATTAGCTTGAGATCCTAATACAATGGCAATTACAATACTTATATACCACTAGTAAGGAATTGAGCCATTATTATTCTAGTATTGGCAAGAAGAAGGGAGAAAGCAAGAGAAAGTAAGAGAAAATGAGAGAAAATACCAGTAAGCTGAGAGTAGGCATGTGTTGACTCATGTACAGACCGGAAAAGACATGAAATCCATGACACAATTCGGCAATACCGATCCGACATGGGAGCAACTTAACTCGAGTCTCCCGTACCTTGACGCAGTCGTACATGAAACCCTACAATTGCATCCACCCGTATCAGAGGCCATAAGAGTGGTACGTATCCTATCCTCCAGCGTATCAATTATCTCTCATTTCCTAGTAGGCAATGGAAGATGACGTCCTTCCTCTCGCTACACCAGTAGTGACCAAATCTGGAGAGACCGTTAATAGCCTCTTCGTGGCAAAAGGAACGGTCCTCACCATTCCCATTCAGACACTGAACATATCCGAGGTGTTCTGGGGCACTGATGCAAAGCAGTTTAGACCTGAGAGGTGGCTCGAGGACTTTACACTGCGAGCGAAGGAGATCCAGGGTCATCGACACCTGTTGACGTTCATAGATGGACCCAAGACGTGTCTCGGGAAGATGTTCGCTTTGACTGAGTTCAAGGTAAGTAAAATTCTCCAGAGGGAGAGTACACCTTTCTTTATGCTGAGGATCGGGTTCTTTAGGCGGTGCTCTTTGTGATTGTACGGAACTTCGCATTCGAATTTCCTGGCGGAGCAACCTATCCTGTCAGAAAAGTGTATTTTCTCTAGTTATAGTGGAACCGAAAATACATTTTCTCCAGTAACGATAGGGAGCTGACAGCGTGTCAAATACCAAATTAAATCTGAAAAATTTGAATTTTATCCAATGATTCGCAATTTCACGTGCTCCAAACCAAACCCACTGTACGCCATGGCGTCATCCTGACGCTTGCCTAGTATGTTACTATCCCATCGAGATCTGCTGCCTCAAGATCCATCTAGGCGATCTGTGCAGGCAGGAACGACCACTGTCAGATCTTGCTCACGGAAGCCGCTCTCAGGTACGTGACTGACGCATTCGGACACGTGCTTTGTGCCTAGATCTTTGAGGTTTCCAGCCTTGTTGTCCGTTCTCAAAATTCGGGAGAGTGAAGAGTCCATCGAAAGCTTGAAAGTAGTACTAGTAGTACAGGGAGTAACAGAGAAATCGTGAGTCTGTCACTGTGTGATTATCTAAGCACATGCTCTTGACCGTCGCCATTACCGTCACTCTCGCTCTCGACGGTGCCGTTTTCGACACTACCGCCAATGACTCTGATATTCACTCGTCATTGGCTCCTAGCCTCTCATCTCCAGCCCCTCCACAGTCACCAGGCCTATCTGAGTCTGTAAAAAAGGTGAGTTTCACCATTTTCATCTGACATGTCATCAGGACTTACCATTTTTTCAGAATGTCCTCGAAGTTCAAGTCGGCGTTAGAGTAAGCAAACTTCCGTGGTACGCATCGTGGTGGTAGACTGACTGGCGCAGGCATGTGAAGGTTTTCTTGAAGGCTGTAGTGTGTCGTCCAGGTTCGGGTTCAGGTGAGTCCTCCATTGTTCTTGTGTCGGTGAAGCTGAAGTTATTGTGGGGAAAGGCAACTATATTCCTGCTGCGCCGATTGCCCACACCGCTACTCCCATCACCACCGATCCAGAACCATCGTCATCTACACTACCTGCACCCGCTTCCCAAGTCGTTGTGTCCCTACCAAGTCTTGTACCATCATCCACCAGCATTAACACCGTCACCGCATCCCCGTATCCTGCTGCAGAACTGTCGTCCATTCAAAGTTCCGTGCAGCCATTGACCACTATTGAGATCGATACTGCGCCGCCCCCATATTCGTCCATTCCCGTGCAGCCGTCCACCAGCAATGAGTCTGACACTGCGCCACTCCCGTATTCCGCCACTCAAAATGTCGCATCTCAGTTACTCATTCCGAATCCCGCACCGGTGTTCACAGCCACCAACTCTGTACCGTCGACGCATCCTGCTGCTCAGGGCGTCACGGCTCAGTCATTCGTTCTGACTAATGTTCCCGTCAACATCCGCCGCCGTGGCACATATTTCCCTCCTGGCTCGGTGCCCCAATTTTGATGAATCAAAGCAGAGGACCACAATTTTGAAAAGCGTTGAAGGAAATATACCGTTGATTTACTGTTGATTTACTGTTTCAGATGTGTTCTGTTAAAAAAGAACGAAAAATATACCTTTGATTTCGGGTCGCCCTGCTCTATCCCATTCCCATGGATTATTTGAGGACTAGCCGATGCCCAGGGAGGGAGGAGGACCGGAAACTGGGACAGTTTCTTTCTTGGCAAGTCGGCCCTGCAAAAAAATGAGGCAGCAATTCTCATTTTGGTGGTAGCTGTCAATGCTGCTGTCAATACCGGTGATGAGCCTAAATTTCCGTGGCAATGGCAAAAACCAAAACTCTAGAGGAGTTCACGGCAAATGGCGTGTAACGGCAATAAAGGCTTTGTTGTTGTGCGAGTGTTTCGGTGCACCTCCGTGCGATGAATTCCTCAAGAACGCAAGTATACACTGCGACTTTTCAGTCAGCGAAGTAGTACCCTTAACGATCGAGTACTAGAAAACGTTGGCTGTAAGCCGGGAAGGGTCTCGATAGTCGAGAAGGAACAGAATCCGGTATAACTGGGAATACCGGCAAACCGTGAACGAAGTGACGGCAATTAACTGGTAAAAGCCGTGGGCGATGTTGACGGAATTAGAGAAAATGCTGTCAAAGAGAAATACCGTTGGCAAGATAACAAATACCGTGACGGCAATAAACGAAGACTGTAGTCGAGAAACGAGAAACTGGCGGTGAAACGAAGATAAGACGAGCTGGCGATGATATGAGGGGGAACTAGTGACGGCAAAACAATGGCTGGGACTGGGCTGGACTGAAACTGAAACTATACTGAGGTTAACGACGGCAAAACGAAACTGATACTAATCCTGAGTCTACACGGAGACTATCCTATACTGAAACTGATGGCAAGATACCAAATACCGTGACTGATGATCCTATACTGAAGCTGTTGACCGAAATTCCGTGACAGATGCTGCTGGCGGCAATAACGATCCTAATCTGAGTCCACACGGGGACGTAACGATACTGAACTGAACTGGGTAAAACGATGGCGACGTAGAAGGTGAAAACTGATGAAAACGATCCTGGCTGGTGAAAATGAAATGATGCTGGCGGATTAAAAGATAAAAGCGAGTTGTGGACACCGAATTCCGTGTATTGGCGCAATATGAGCGTACACCAATACCGTTAGAAGAAAAGCCGTGACAGAGAGTATAACTTGGAGTGACTGTGTTGTTATTGTCTATCTCCTAGCGAGTACAAGCGATAACGGTGGTCGATAACGTGGATGATGGCTAGTGTCCAGTAACTTCTGTCTAGCAACTCCTACTATACTAGCTTTTATACTACAAGTCCGGAATAAAATTAGAATACTTGAAACGAGTCCTTAGTAAGTCCTTAGTACATCGATTGGTAAGAAATGATACAAAACGCGTGCTCCCAGAGTTCTAAAGTAACAGCACCCACACGGTTTTACCGCGTATAGACTTAGTGATCAGAAAGAATTCCCCCGACATATGGACTCTTGGGCTGCTGTGTTGCTGCGGCAAAGTACACTGAAGGTAGTACACTGAAGTAGATGCGTGCGGCATTATCTTGGTGTTGTAACAGCCTTAGTAAAGTGAGTGGAAAGGTCACGGTATTAGGTCTTTTGCCGTGGAGTTGGTACTTTGACTGCGGCATTCTTCTAAATGACGCTTGATGCTGAGGTCATCGATGGCTGTGCTGGGCAATCAATGATGGTCCTAAATCCGTGAGATCTGCAATCAGGTGCCTGGCAGCATTAATGAAGTGGCGCATATTGATACGGAATACGAGCTGGGAAGGATAGTTGGCGGTAAGAGTGGGTATTGCCGTGATTGCAATCGTTGACTTTAGTGAAAGTCCGCTAAGTGGACAAGGCATTTATTATAATGCTAAAATCCACGAATTCTGAGCGTACAGAGCCTTGAGGCTCATCACCGGCAAGTCGGCATGCATATGCCAAATAAGGTATGCCATCCCAACAGAACGACA